GTAAACATTATATTTGTTTCGCTATTCAATGGTAATGGTAATTTCCTTTTGGTATGAGTGGACAATAGTTCGTAAGCCATAAAATTTATACCCTCTTCCCTGTAGATAATAACTATCCTTGCTAATCTAGAATCATTTAATTGCTTATAAAATTTATTGTAAAATAGTATTGAAATTTCTGTAAAAAATATTTGTTTCAGAGTTATATAACGATTATCATTAGCTAAATAAAATATATTTTCATTTAAAGAGCATGGTAGTTTATATCCGGTTATGACCTGAAAATAGCAATCTAGTACATTGTGTTTGTAGTCAAATGCATACTTTTGAAATACATATAGATTATTTAAAGATAATAAAATTCTGTTCATTATATTATTTAGATCATTATTACTAATCAAACCATATTTATGATTATTTTTTTTGTAATACTGACCGATTGTTGTCTAATATTTTTGAATTTCTAAATTTCATTTCCATATAAAATAATAACCTTGGTATTCTTAACACTGGTGCTAATTCAATTTGTAATTTAACGTTATATTCTCGATAATCATTATAAATATCAAGTAATTGATAAAACATAACACATATACAAATCATTAATGATATTGCTTTAAAGAGTTTGCTAAATTTTTCAAAATTTTTACTTTGGTTGTTTGGTAGCTTTATTATTTTAAATATTTTGACCATGATTACATATAATATTGAATATACACTGAATCCCATCCACATTCCCATTAGTCCACCAATTGTTGACAAATATGTTATTAAATCCATTTTCGGACATAAATTCCAAATCATATTTATCTTTGTTTTATATGGAATCTCAATAACAATAATATTATTGTTACCAAATACGGAATGATCTACTACATTTACCACATACTCAGTGACATATTGTTTGCATTCAGTCTTACACTTAGTGTTCAAAAGTCGATAATCGGGTGAAACAAAGCACTCATTGTTCGTACGATTCATAAACACTTGACTCGAGTTTCGAAACACATATGAAGTCCAGTATTGAACNCATTGTTCGTACGATTCATAAACACTTGACTCGAGTTTCGAAACACATATGAAGTCCAGTATTGAACACCAGTTTTGCCGCACTTTCTGTTCTCCAAGTGTTTCATCACATCTAACATACATTGATGTCGTGATTGCGGGCCAACACTACCACCCGTTCCCACAATACGATTACTCTCGTAGTCATAACAGTCTGTCTTATAGGGGGCCGGCAGTAGGGTTTGCAGTTTGGCCTCAAAATAGACATAAATTAACTTATAATTTAAAACATATTTAAATGTTTTAATGAAATGCGAGGCACTATATGGTGAATGCAATGCAAACTCAAACTTATCAATATTATACATGTAAAGTACAATTTTACCAATTGTATGATTATGTCGATTCAAATGTTCATTTAAATAGGTGAAACAATAACTACTATCATGTTTATATTTTATATAAACCGGGCTTAATTCCAAACAATTTATATATTTCATATGACCATGATAGCCTTTAAAATCAGTTTTACAGTTTAGGTATATTTTTCCAAACATATTTTCATAAAATTCATCATAAACTTGGTTGTTTTGATTAATACAAATAGTGACTGAACTTCTATACCGCCAATATCTGGAGTTTCGCTCGTATTTTAAATCATTGATTGCTTTATAAGACAAGTAATTAATAGTTTGGTCACAGAATTGGTACACAAATCCACATATTATTAAAATTTTTAAGATTTTGTTTAAATAAATATTAATGTTTAGATTTTTAAAACCCTCCATAGCTAGTAAAGTAAAAGTCTTTTTAAAATGCTTTCATAACCATTTAAAATGGCATAATGTACGTATAGTTCATACAACAAAACTTTATATTATACCACGAATACAATGAATACATGACATGTACAGTACATATCAATTATATTATAGTTAATACATATACATATAGTGCACTGCTTTTTATTGTACCATATCTATTAATATTTAATTATATATTTAACATATTTTTGAATGCTAATTTAATATTAATTGTTTATTTTATTAGTGCTAGACTGTCCATTATACTGTATTAATGTGCTACTCATTTACATATACCGTATACTGTATAATGTACACAAGCTATGGGTGCAATCATTTCAATATTATAATATTATCTGAAAAATACGAGTATTAAAAAATATATTAAACATTACTTTCAACACTGGTAAACTTCGATGCACACTCGAGCCATTTGGGGCCACAATAGCGTTGAAACAACTTTTACATTTTATTATAGTAGTCGCAACACTAGTTTTTACTTTATCATTATCAACTTTATAGTAACTTTAACAGCGGATTAATATATTAGAGTGTAAATTAATTTTTAATTAATAATTATTAATCGTATATGTTGGTACAAAAATCTATGCTAAACAAATCAAGGTTATACATTGAACCTAACCAAATAATCTTATTTTGTATTATTTTCTGTAAATTAAAACAAATTTTGTATTTATGATTGACTAATAAATTATTTTAGAATATTATTTACACTTTAATTTATAATTCATTTTACATGACTTACGTTTATAATGAGACACTAAAAACTAGTGTTGTAGCAAATTTAGTAATATGTACAATATTTTAACTGAACTGTAACTGTTAGTGTGGCCCGGATTAATATGAATGTGCATCGTAGTATTAAAGTGTGATTTATTATAAGAATTAGATTATTAGTGATATTTCTTAAATTTTATTTGCAATTGATTTGATTATTTTATTAGTGTAGGTGGCATAGTATTTGATACAAACGCAAATGCTTTTTGCTGATTAAAACGCCGTCTTCAGTATAGCCAATGTACTTGGTCATATTGTACTCGAGCATAGTATAGTATTGGGCCATCCAGGGTTGAAAAACAAATGATAATAATCCGGGTATATTACCCGATTCCAGAACAGTCTTTATTATGTTCACGTTATCGAAAAGGGTTTTGGTGTGTGGTATTAATATCAGGCTGCAATATGTAGATGAAATATGTATTATTAATTTATGTATGGTCAATTAATTATTTAAAGTTTTACTACAGTTTTTTGACTATATAGCTGAGATTTACAAAATTTTGAAACTTTTAAAATTAATAAAGTTATGGATAATATCTATTGACACTATAATGTAATATTATAACTGTATATTGTTATGTTTTAATATACTGGTATATAATTTATATTTTAGGCATTAATACACAATACTGGTTAACATTATATGAAAGCAGCGTTCAAATGTGAGTTGTTTAATGTGACTAAGATGCATCTGCTATAAATGATAATATATTTTAAAGACATTGTGTTCCTAGATGAACCGTGTGTTATATTAATCTTGGACATAACCGAGTGCATAGTTCTGGTGTCAATTATTACTTATACCAGTTTATTCGACACATACTTAAGTTAATGAAAGTCGGTGAATAGTCAAACATTTATGGGTTAAGCCAATGGTTTGTCCCTATATTTAGCATGTTAATCGTCAAGTTATTGTCTTAAATCTGTGTAAATTAAGTATAATTCAACAATCACGTGCTAAATATGGGGACAAACTACTGGCAGCACCCAGAAATGTTTGACCATTCACCGACTTTGATCGGCTTAAATAACTCTAAACAAAGTAGTGTACTGTAGAACAACGTGGTATAAGAGATAATACACATCTAGAGTATATACTCGGTTGCGTCCAGGGTAAGCTAATTTATAATATAGTATCATAATATAATATTTGTTAAAAGTTATAACATAAATTATGAATGTACTTGGTCTTAATGTAGTATGCCCATTCGCGCATTAGTACCACAAACGGACCGCAATATTCGTAGTATAATATAGTGCTGTTGTCACCCCCATGGCCAGTGGTGTTAACCTTCCAGTCTCTGTAAGACATTAATGGCGGATAAAAATAGGTGAACACATACATGGGAATGGCAGTTGAGTTAATGATCCAATCAGTGGTGGATTTGTCACTATTAAGCGTAACACAACTCATATTTGCTAACATATTTTGGTAGCTTATATAGATATTAAATGCTGATTAAAATTGTATTTTTACATAGTTTTTAAACTATAAACTATTTGTTAAAATATTGTTTATATATATTCAGTATCATAATTACACTGCAAATGAATTTGTTACATTTTAATATTAATCCAACAATATTAATGAATAATTTAGTTTAGTTGCCTAAAACTAAAATATTTATAATGGTATAACATATATTTTATGTTTTTCTTATATTTTTATGGCTATTCAATAGCCTATTTTCGCTGATATTAATTATGTATTTGTTAATAGTATATTTTGGCCATTATAGTTACACAATTGATATATACTATGTATTTTAATATTTTATATGTACAAGGTAGTTGTGTCGCACCAAATCATTATGAAATTATTGAGCAATTTTTCAAGCAATCCTAGAAAACTCACATTTACGTCTAGCTGTACTTGAATAAATTACAATGTCATATTATAGATAATAGATATTTGTGTTTATGATATACAAAAAGATCAATCGATGAATGACTATTGATGAAGCTGTTTGAAAACTTTTATTAGTTTGAATGAGTAAACTCTGCTTTCAATGTAAAATTATTTATCAATAGTCATTCATTTTTATTCATCGATTGATCTTTTTGTATATTATAAACACATTTATCGGCTATCTATGAAAACCTATAAAATTATATACAATCACAATTAAAATAGAAATTTATTTTGTAAAATGAAATTAATAAGTAGTGATTGATTAGTGATAAGGGGAGGGGGCGGAGGGGAGGGAGACAATTTATGTTCATATTAAATAATAAAATATATAACAATAACTTTATTTTTTATTTGATATGAAAAATTAATTAATTTCTGTAACTGTAACAATATACAAATTATGATGCTTATTTTAATTTCAAAAAAAACATTTTAAAAATAACATTTTAAAATAATTATAAAATAAATTCTAGTTGTTAAGTATTAATAATGTTATCCTGATCAGTTTCTTCAATAGTATCGGGAATCTCGCGACCTTTAGTTTCAGGCAGTAATAGCACAATAAGGGCTCCGACACCCGATAACACGCCGTATAGTATCATAACCGGCGCTAAGCCATGAATAGCCGCCTATTTATAACAATATGTATTGTAATAAAAATTACAATTATTTTATTTGTTTTAATTATAAAATAACGTTATAATAATTTTAAGTTAATTATTAGTTCAAAAATAAAATTGTTACTACATAAATTAATTTTATTTAAAAATTATAACTTGTTAATTGCTGTTATCAATCTTGTTAAGTTTTCTAAAAATATTAACAAAAACATACCAAATTTTTCATGTATGGCGCACTTATTGAACCCAGACGTCCGACTACCTGTGCGACACCCATACCCCTATGCCTGATAACCGTTGGATACAACTCGGGTCCCACAACTGCCATAACATTCCAGGCGCTGTTGACACCAAACTTGCCTATGAGTGCCAACAGCACTGTTAGCCACTCGGCACGGGAGCCGATGATCGCCAGACACGATACGGACGTTATGGTCAAAAATGTTGAAAACAGTAATCGACGTCCAAACAGTCGAAAAAATACCACGGTCAATAATTGTGATGGCAACTCAACTAAGCCCGATAGTAAAAATGTGATGTAAAAATTGCCACCAAAATCGGACATGTTCAAACTAATTCCGTAATATAACAAGGCAACAACTGCGTGAGTGTACCACATTATCATGGAGATTTTTCTAAGGTTTGATGTTTTAACTAGGTCCAATACGGTGTGATTTTGCTTAGATTTGTCGCTTGATTGAACCTGGATATATGATAAAGTATACTTAGAAATTAATTTTGACGGTATAAGTTACACTACAGTAATGCTTTCTCACATTACAAGTCACTAATTAGTTTATGTTTATTTACAATAAGTATATTATTTAAACATTAACTAACTACTATAATGTTTGCTACTGTTTAATAAAAACATAAATTATTTAAGAATTTTATGTTATTTTTTTATTTACAATTTAAAACTTAAAATACTCAAAATAATTAATTATCTTAATTATCTTAATCATTCTTATTATAATTTTATAAAAATATAAATAAGGATTGCCTTACATTTTGCAAATACTCTGACAGTCCCTTTAACTGGTCGCCAAGATTTTCATCGGACAGTCCGTTAGTTTTCAGTGCCTTTCGTAGTATATGTTCCGCGCGACCGATACGTCCGGTGCTAAGCAGCCAACGGGGACTTTCACACAGCAAATAGTACCACAATAACAGAAAGATGGTGGCAATGAGCGAGGTGAGTTGCATATATCTATAGTCCCTAAGCCAATAGGCCAGGCCTGGTATAGCCGCGTAGCCCAGCACCCAACCAATGTCTGTCAATACGTATATGTCGGCCCTGTATTTCGGTCCACAGTTTTCTATTACTGTAATATAAACAAGGTAATTTTAGAAAAATATTTTTTAAAATAAATAAATGTCTAATACGAACATGACACTTTTATAGCCATTGTTTTTCCGGAGGCACCCATGCCCACAAAAAATCTGGATATCGAGTAGAAATATATGTTTGGTGAAAGTATGCATGATACAATACCAATTATTTCTATAATGAACGAGGTAAATATAATTGGTCGTCGGCCGTATTTATCTGAGTAATGCGAGAATATAAGTCCAGATACAAAGTAGCCTAACATGTAAAACACCTGGGACATTGATGCTAAATGTGCTCGGTGGCATACTAGATTAAACTAGAAGAATTATTTAATTTATTAATTATTATTAGTTATAATTAATATAATTGTAATTATAACTGTAATTGTAATTGTATTATAACTAATAATAATTAATATTATATAATATTATAAATATTTATTTTACTTGAGTTTTAATAGAGTTGGAAAACTGTGACCTATCGTATTGCCAATCATCGCAACTCTCGCTAGAGTTCACATATTTAGTGCACTTTAAACCTTGTGTTTTATTCTAAATTATAAACATAATGTATAATAATACTAAACAATGTCTTTTTATAATAAAATTATATGGTAGCAATTATAAATCCAAAAATATAAAATATAAAAATAATGTACTAGTACAGTTTACCATTAAATCCGGTGGTACGTCACTGCACCAGAAATCATTGTCAAATGCATGGAAAGCATAGCCCATGTTGTTAATGGCAGATATGGCCATCATCACAAAAACAAACACGGTCCATTTAAACTGCCACCTACCCCACTCACCTAATATATTTGCCACATGCTTGGCCCCGGGGTTTGGATTATTATTATTCATTATTTTTACAACAAAAATATCAACTTCAATATATTAACAAAACTTAATTTTTGTGTGGCTATATTTGTTTGTGATTGAACATTTCTATTTGAAATATTTTACAAAACACATTACATGTGACAAAGTTTACCTTGAACTAACATATTTTTTGAACATAGTGCTTATTGTTCATTGTTAGTAGTAGTATCATTAATTAAAAATCAATTATCCTAGCCTGGAGGTGATTAATAACGTTTTAGTAACTTATAAAAATATAGTATTTTATGAATAAATAAATTCAAGCATACATGTGTTCATTCATACAAAGAATGAAGGTCATTTATTGGTAAGTCTTTAATTTTATTAAATACGATTTAAATAATATATCTTTATGCATAATAATAAACAAGTAAAGTAATTTTTAAAAATATTGTTTAGTTATTGGTTTAATTAAATTCTAAAATATTTTCTAAAAACTTTCCATAATAAAAGCTGCACTAAATAAAGTCATAATAAAATGTATACATTATCACTGAATTTAAAATATATTTTTTTAGAAAGTATATAAAATGTTATTTATTTATAAATCTATAAAAAATTAATAAAATATACAAATTTGTTTAAGTCAGGAATTTTATAAATTAATATTCTTAAATATAATTATAAAATAATTTTTAAATGAATAAATATAATTTAAAATAATATTATATTTCATTTATCATAAACTACTTTACGGTATATAAGGTATACATACTAGTAACATGCATAAACTTAAAGGGGTTTAAAGACCAACTCTCGTTGAAAGGGCTTAAAACTTTAACCTTTAAACTGAAACACTCAATTAGATAAGTAGATTCATTTAATCAATATAAAGTTAACATGTAAAATGTTCTGGAACATTATGGAACATTAGAAGCACTTAGGGTTAGGGAACTGGAGATAAAACACAGTGTCATATTACATAGTCATAGTTTTCCAGACTTTATTACAATATGTCCTACAAGTATGACCTTAATAAAATTGGTAGTCTTAAAATATTTTAGTAATTCTGAACATAATAAAATAATCTTTGCTTATAAACTTGTAATCAATTTAATAATAAGAGAATATACACTTTTAATAGATATACTTGTTCAAAATATCGATATATAAAAAATGTTTAAATTCTTCGATAATAATCACAACAATTGCAACCAATAGTCCCCATAAGAATAACCAGAATACACCGTTCAAGCCATTAATTGATATAGCATTACATATAACTTGAACATTTTCAATCTTGTCTATATCACGTCCATAGCCTTTTGGTTTAAGAGATTTTTGAACTTCGTATTCGTAAATACCATTTTCATGGAGGTTTGTTATCCTGACAATATATTTTTAAATAAATATTAAATTAATTACATATACATCACAATATTAATTATAAATAATATCTGATAAGCCAATCCCAATAGTGTGTCAGAAAAATGCTTTAATCTTAATCTTTCAATATTACCCTTAATGAAGATTAAGATTAAACCATTTTTCAGATACACTATTGGGATTGGTCGCACAAATATCTATTGCTTACACATGATTTAAATCGACCAACACATCATATATAACTGGCCAATAATAAATTATGGTTATATTGGTAGTATCAGGGATATAGAGTTTTGTTGCCTCTAAGCCCTCCGTTTTCCATATATGAACAGTGTCGCGAAATGGGTGTCCAGGATCATCTAACACATATTGCTCAATTTGGTTTATTACATAATATGCAATTAATCTGGGTAGAGCTATAACAGAATTATTTACCAATATACTGGAGACAATCTAAAAATTAAACTTGTTATAACATTATATAAATTTAAATGTATCATTCATAATTAATTGATAACTTATTTATCATTAAATATATACAACCTCAATCTGATATTCAGTGTCAAATAAGCATGAGAGATAATCAGTGACTATCATTCGTGGTCCAAAGTGCAAGGCCATTTTATCATATTCGGGAGAATTGGTTAAGTAATAGTCAAGTAAATCGAAATCATAGGTATAAATGAGCGATTGTTTCCAATGAGATTTATAATACAAATCGTATTTAGTGTGAAGTTTGTCGTACGTGTCGGCCCTCATAAGCGTGTCGTATGTGAACCCCGAGTATAGGGACAGCAATAGTGTCCCACAAATCATGAGCCATAATCCGGCAAATAATTTATCATATGAAATGGCTGAAATCTTTTTGATTCGCATCGTATCCGACAATAATACCGAAACATAAGCCCAAAGAGCGTTCATAAACGTATTTATTGACCGGTATTTAACTCCAATAACGGCGGTAATCGATATGAGTGACAATACGAGCCATAAGTATATGTTGTGATCCCAACAGTCGATGAACTCATACGGAGATCGTGGGGCTGTTTAGTGATATACAAATCATATTTAATAATTTAAACTAACCTCATATGGTATATACTGCATATCCAGGAATCCCAGTTAGTAATAAAATCTTATCAAGTTTATTAACTTTTATACTTTGTTTTATTATTATTGTTTAACTTTATCATGTAACTTATTTAAGCATTGCCAATTAAACGTATTCATACTTAAATGCATTTTGCTAATAATAACATCACCATGCTGTGCGCCAATGAACTTGCTCATGTTGTAACCCATCATAGTTGCAAGCTCACCAAATTGCATTGGATTTATTGGAAATGGAATGAACTCGGGCAAACTTGATGACTGCAACTTTTCAATTACTTCCGGGACAATGGATATATACTCAGCACTGGATTTATGGTTAGTCGTGAATATAAAGCTATTAACACATAGAATATTAATTTCTTAAATAATTATCAAAACAAACATGGTTATAATAAAATATTTGTATACTTAGTGCCAATGTATTGAGCGAATGCTTTCATGAGTACCACAAACGGACCGCAATATTCATAGTATAGCAATGTATGATTGCTCATACCCTGGTCAGTGGTGTTGACCTCCCATTCCCTGTACGACAATAAGGGAGGATATACTATAAGAATAACATCAATAGGACTGTTGGTAGCATTGGTGACCCAATCTGTGGTTTTCTGGTAAGGATTGAGTGTAATACAACTTTTTACACGATAATTATCCCACATAGTTTACACAACTAATTTGTATATGTCAGTATAATGTTATTGATTTTAATAAAATCTTGAAAAAATATTGCAAACAAAGTGATTTATTTAACTAAATGTTTTATATGCTTGTTATGTAAGTGCTTGTTATGACTATAACTTATATAAGTAATATAATATAATTTAATATTAATAATGAATTTTATTAGTAAATTGAATAAATTTGCAACCAAATTTACTAATAAAATTCATTATTATATTATATTATATAACCTAACCTATAAGTAAAATATAAATGTATGCAAAAAAACTATTTATAACATAAGAATCGCGCTATTTCTATAGAAACTATATGCTGCCTAAAACAATGTTTTCAAAACAAATTTTGCTGACATTTGACATCCCTAAGTTATTATACTAATAAATTATTAGTTATAATGATACTGGATATAATGATCAAAATATCATCCAAACCCCATGAGAATTGTTATCCAAATTAAATTATATAAGTGTTATCTTATTATTAATTAATCTATTATTTTTGACAATCACTAATTGATTTAGCTTAATATTTTTCCAAACATAGTTATATTATATTTGCACTATACATTAAACATATAATTATTTTTTCATTTACAAATCTGCATAAATATTATTAATTACATCATTGTATATCGAAATTAAAATTAAATAATTAACGTTACACAAACAGATTAGTATTATCGTAATAATATTCATATTTTAATAAAAGTAATTATGAAAGGTTAGTGTATAATTTATTGTTTAAATTTAATTATTACTTCATTAACATGGTAATTCTGTTAAAATGTTACATTATATAAGGTTTGAAATTAATAAAAACAATAACTTTATGTAAAATTACATATTATAACCACTTCTATAGACATTCCTCCCATCGGTTCCACTCGTTGTGTGTATTAAAGCGCCTGAAAGTGGAGACAATTATCCGTTAAAATTCAAGTTTTTGCATAAAGGGTTTTGTTGGGGCACTGCTATAAAAAGGGAACATTAGGTAATGTATGGGACAGTTAGCCCATAGTAAGACCACTATTATATGATCACTGGCTATGAGTGGCACATAAGACCAGTTTTATTGTGAAAGTTATACCTTATGTAATGTGTGTACTTGAATTGAATGTAAAAATTATTTGAAGTGAAATAATAAATAAATTTGTGAATAATAAACTTGTGTATTTTAATTTACTGGACCTTAATGAACAAGCTCATTTAATATTTAATTAAGAAAATACGTAAGATATTGGTGCTGACAATTAGCAAGATCAGCCAAAGCTTACAATATTACATTATTATAATTAGACACAATATTTATACAAAAATAGAAAATATTATGAATGCTAGTAATTTGTTTTATTTACATATTTTTAGAAATAATATACAAATAAGAGATATTATCTGCAAATAAATTTAAAAAGAGATTAATTTAAAATCAATTATGAAATATATTCAACAATACCTCATATCCACGGAATCTGTTTATTATGAATAGTTTCCAACAATAAAATCCAACCCTTTTTACGGCAATTCTCTCCATTGTATTCAATAACTATTTTAACGGATATAAAAATGTTACTGAATGTGTGTACAGTACATAATTAGTTATATCATACATACCTTAAGTTTGCTTTTAATGGGTATTAGCTTTGTATGAGTTATGTATGAATTCAACACAATATATGTATTATTCGTCTCATTATATAATTGCGAAGAGATTTGTATTATTAGTAGTAATAACAGTAAATAAATAATTGACATTAAAGATGTCAGTAATTTAACTAAAAAGTAATTTTCCGTAAAAATGGATACATATAAAAAATAGCAAATAGAAATTCCTTGAGTAAACCATACGAGTGCCAAATATTGAGA